CCCCCCTCACACTGGGTTACCCACACTCTTTCCACGTCCCCCTGATAGCACGCTCAAGCGCTCTTGGTAGTTGGGTAAGGTCTTGCTGGTGAAACGTGCGAACGAACGGAAGTAGACCCTTGCGGGGCAATTTGAGGGATGCTAACGTAGATAGGCCTTCATTGATGTACAAGCGCGCCGTACGCGCGGCGGCCCATCGTCCCAACACAATGATTCGATCGAGTGAACCGTGTCGACCGAACCAACACGTGGCCCCACCCCGCCGTAAACTGTACGGGCGGAATTCAAATTCTTCTAAGTGCAGGGCCTTCAAACACTCAGAAAACTTCTTGCGCCACTGGTGAGGTGCTGGGGTGAGTGGGCAGCGTGGGGAGGAATTCTGCTTCCAGGCCCAGAGCCAATGGAGAGCATTAGTAACTGAAATGGTGACACTTTCAGCGGCTCCGGCTCGTTTGCCAGATTTCGTGAGGCCTAATGAAATCACTGCGGGTTTGTCGGGAGATGTCATGAGAATATGGTGGTTGCACAACCCCAAAATCTCCCCTGTACGCAGCAGTCCATAAAAGCCCAACAACAAACTGAGCCCGAACGAATACTCTTTATGGAACAAGCACCATCCAAGCATTGCAAACAAGCATTCCTCCGGGAGAGGCGGCGCTCGGCTTGGGATTTCGTTGACGTGCCACGTCTTCAAGAGTCTCCATGTCACCTGAAGTTGTCCTTTCAAACGAGGCTCTGTATCTTGAAATCCAGCGACGGTATCACTGGCCAAAGCGCGCCCCTCCCCCACACTCCACAAATGCTCTACGTAGTCAGCAAGCATATCATCAAAGGCCGTGAACTTGGTGGGAATTGTCAACCCATTCGCTAAGGCGTAGTCGTAGAACTTCTGTTTGGCTTGGCTGTATCTCTTTCGGGTTTGTGGCTGAACGGTGAGTTGTCGCAACGTTCCTAAAGCTTGTCGGTTTCTGGCTCTCTCTTCCTTGCTATGGCCTTCCAAATGCTGTTTCACTTTCCCCATTTGCGTCCGAGAGGCCGACGGCTAGGCCGGTCGGCTGGGTTCTGTGCTGTATGAACATATCCCCAGATGGGGTGAAGGTCCGCAGCAAGGATTAGAGAGTTGACCCGAATCAAAACATGTCTCAACTTCCTCGACGAGCTCCGACCACGCGACAAGCTATGTAGGCACACCAAACTGTCGGTCAAGTGCAAGAATCGTTTGCTGTACCCACGACGACGGACGACCAACCATCGCAATGTAGTCAAGATAGCCCGAAGTTCCAGTACATTGATGTGCTCACCCGAATGACGCCAACGCCAACCTGTCACCTCCTTCCATCGCCACAACTTGGCCGGAACACTCGATCGAAGGCGGTGGAACTTGACCTGAGGTTCGCTCACAGCCGTGACCATCAAGTCCTCACCTTTCATCGACACCAAGCCAAGCAGCTTCAACAACAAAGGCGTTTCCAAAGTGGCAACAAGCGTCTTACTGGACAAGAGAGGTGGTCGCAGAAGGATTCCCTGCAATGCGCTACATTTGCCCGGTGTGAGGTAGTCCACAATGTCTTGCAAACTCCGCTGACGACAAAAGCCCAATGGTGCATACGTGCCAGGAGTTCCCGACCAACGTCAGCCTAGTATCGTCCCACTCAACCGTGCCTTGCTGCGCCTTCGGGAGACAGGGGCGTGTATATCCCACGGGAATGCCCATGATCGCCTCCCTTTCTTGTGCAGTCGGTCGCCGGGAATTACCCTTCTTGGTCCAGAGCAAGTTGTGGTCACGATACTGGTAAGGTGGGAAGCGATACCTGTCATCTACCCACCTCTGGCGTTCATGGGCGGCACAACGCTCAAGTCCTGCGGGTCGGTAACCCGGCTGCTCTCTCGGCCTTGAGGTGGTGAAGGTCGGCAGCTTGTAACCCTCCGTAACAAA